ACAACCTAAATTGCCTTCAAACAAACAAGCAAAGAACGACATAAGTTCATGTTTTTACAAATGTATATCTACATTAAACACCAAAGCAGCATAGGGACACGCCCCCTTTTATTTAGACACACTACTCTAGCAAAAAACTTGATCCTAGATCTCCTAACGGCATAATGTTATACAACTAGTTTTGTCTGTCGTGTATCATGTATGTGGTTCGTTATTGTTAATTAGAATGTCTTTCGATGTTTGCGTCAGTCATTTTGTTTGTCATCGTGCCATCTCTATTTTAGTTGTTATTAGTCCATTTTTATTAGTCCATTTGCCGTTAATTTGTGTCATTAGGGTTTGTGTGCGTCACTCATGTTGTTAAAAGCGTATGTTCTTTGAGTGCAAGTCCAGTCGAGTCGAAGTTGTCGTTGAAAGAAGTCGTTATGTTGTAATCGTTGGTTGTTGCTAATTTATACTTTCTTATACTTTCACTATTGAAGAACCTTGGTTTAAAAAAAAACGTTATTTTACATTGGTGACCACGACGTGACGAATTCGCAGAAAAAAATGGAAATGATTTCAACAGAACAATTCAGTGAAATTCTGTTGGATATTATAAAGACCGTTGTATCTCACATGGCCGAAAGGGTGAGGTTGGCAGAGGAGAATGGGATAAATTTCTTCGTGAATCGAACTAATGTCTATCGTGCTGAAGATGGCCAGCCCATTTGCTATTGTTGTTTGCGCGTTGGTCACGTTGCCAAATATTGTAGGGACAGGAAATTTTCTTTAGCATCCCAGGAGAAGTGTGATCAAAATGAACCTGTGATTGTTGCCTCGGTAGCTGAAGAGCGACCTCGGGTTACCTTTATTGGCAACATCAAAAGAAATGAGCCACACTTTCAAGATCTTCAAACTCGAGTTAAGAAATTGGAGGAGATTGTCAATGAATTGGAGTCACATAAACTATCACGACCAATGGTGACGCGACTGCCTTCTTCAAAACCAATGGAAGTTGACGAGGGTTTATTAGCCACAACATATGAAAAAAATTTGATGGACACTAAAAGAAGAGAAGGACCTTTCCGTGTACACAATGTTATTATAGCCTCGGGTAGAGAACCGTATGGACGGAATAAACTTGGACAGGGACATTATTTCTTAGATGGTACTTGATTTACTCATTTCAGTAAAAGTATTTGATTGATTCTTCGTGCTGCCTTATAATACTTTTATGTTTCTTCCCCTTCGAGAGATCAAGCCAGGAGGCTTGTCTTTCAAAGGGGGGAGTAATGTTATACAACTAGTTTTGTCTGTCGTGTATCATGTATGTGGTTCGTTATTGTTAATTAGAATGTCTTTCGATGTTTGCGTCAGTCATTTTGTTTGTCATCGTGCCATCTCTATTTTAGTTGTTATTAGTCCATTTTTATTAGTCCATTTGCCGTTAATTTGTGTCATTAGGGTTTGTGTGCGTCACTCATGTTGTTAAAAGCGTATGTTCTTTGAGTGCAAGTCCAGTCGAGTCGAAGTTGTCGTTGAAAGAAGTCGTTATGTTGTAATCGTTGGTTGTTGCTAATTTATACTTTCTTATACTTTCACTATTGAAGAACCTTGGTTTAAAAAAAAACGTTATTTTACAATAAGATTGTGTAACAGCGCTCAATGCCATCGGGCTGAGGTTGGTATTACACAATATTTCAGCTTTCTGACAAACTGTGCTTCTTTCTTTTATGGTTTTCAACAAACATGTGATAGTTTTACTTTTCATTTATCAAACAGTATCTAAGACTGAAATTTGTCATTTGAAAGTGTCGTGTGTCGGTAAAGGATTGTATCAAATGGTGTATTAACAAAAAGATAACATTGTAACGGTATTATAACAATGCTAAATAAGCGAAATTGAAATATCTATAAATGGGAAATGTCACGATTGCCTTATCTAACCTATCGAAACTTTTAAACCGAATGTGTGGAACTTTGCAAATCGAAAAAAACGAATGCATAAAATGATGACGTCATCAAAAAAATTCTGACTTCAACAAAATTTAAACATTTTTATACCAAATGAAAGACCTTTATAACCTGAAGAAATATTGACTATTTTTATTGTCATAAGCAAAGTATTTCAAAGGTTATGGCCGTTTATATGATCGTTTCAAGGCAATTGTTGACGTCACCGATCACCAGTGGCGTAGCGTGACTTTTTCAACTGGGTATTCTCTATTAAACAAAAGGATGGGGCAGGGTGTGGCTCGATGGGGCTTGATGAAAATAGAGAGATAATAGGAAGATTAAAAGGACTAGCTTTTGACATTTAATCTTTTACTTTAACACTTTTCTTTTTGGTTCGGTTGGCAAGTACTGCACTGTCAGGGCATTACTATGATGAAAACGATACTTTGCTAAAAGGACCCAACGCAAATATACTCTTCGAACTCATTCATTGCATCAAAATTCCATTTCATCAAAAGTAATTCAAATCAAAACGTATCATTGAAAATCGGTAAAATTTTGCTGGTCGAAATATGTCCCAATAGTTGTTGTTGAATCCTCTAAAATTTGCACTGATGTAAAGAGGAAGTAACTGTAAACACCTAATCTTGATACCTTAATACAAAAGGGCTTTCAAAAGTTTCAAAATTATTCACATAGGGCATTACACGAGTTATAAATAGCTTGTGGTATGCAGTCTAGACTTTTTCTTCATGGCCTAATCGTGATATTTTCAATACAAGTTAATGTTTGAAAGAATCGAAGGTAATGAGATGAGACTGCACGATAATGCAAATAAATGCGCTCGAATAATGCAAACAAAATAGGCCAACAAGATAACTGAATACACCAGGCAACTATAAGGATATTATCCAGGCCTATCTGCATTTACTTTAATTCCGTCTCATAACACAATTAGAAGCATCCCTGATTGACAAGCAATAACAAAATTGACATTTCAAGAGGGCACAGATCTGAGTCAGTGTAGTATTATGTAGAAGCCTACCTTACCTTTCCACTTTGCTGTTGGTAGATTAAGATTAGGGGTCAAATGAGAGAATGATTATGAAACAGTAATGCGGACATTGCAATAGCTTTTGAATAAAGTCATGTTTACTGTTTTCGATGAAGATCCATCACTCCAACCGCTCCGACGTCCATTATCTGTTTATATCGATCTCAAAACGAGACTATTTTGAACCAACTTTGAGGCTGTACGCTGCATATTTCTCAGCGTACAGGACCATTGTTTTAGCTGATTAACGGCAAATATTATTCATGGAAAGGAGCATTTTGATTGGTTAAAGTACCGTCTAGGGTATTCACTGCGTATTCATGACCGATCTCCATTCAACATGAAGTAGCTCAATCTTCAAAGTTAGCTTCAAAGATCTCCCAGCTTTTCTATGCTTCGCAGAGTTATTGTTTCCATGAATTTCGTGATATTTTGTACTTGTACAAAATGTAGAATATCGAAGGTAATGAATTCAACCAGAATCAATTGCCCCAAAACATTTTTTAGTTATTACAAATATACGTCGTATCAATATTTTTTCTGAGAAATCTCAGGGTATTCACTGAATACCTTGAATACCCGGACGCTACGCCACTGCCGATCACGTGACTTCCAGGAAATATTTTTTTGGGCCCATCTCGGAAAATCAATCAGTTACCAATATACAACCATATTTTGAAGTCAGATATGGTATTAGGCACTTGCTTAGTTTGTTACAACAATTTCCCTGTCTAAGAGGACATACGTAGAACAAGGGAAGAGCAAGAATACTTCAACCGAAGGTGGTGCACAGAAATTTCGTGAGGAAAAGCTGCGAGACTTAAAAATTGATTCAGCTGAGATACAAAGCTTTTTTTATCAAGCAAAAGCCACAAACGTCACAAAAAAGCAGGGTCTTGCTCTTACTCCTTTCAATAAACTCATAAAAGTTATGGTAAGTTTATTAGGCCTATACTATCATAAGTCTAATGCACCCCCACCCAACAGGTTTGGTGCTACACGATAAAATTTCAACAGGGGTGCCCATGTTTTCTTTTTGGGGTCAGAAATTGACAAATTGATATTTTTGGGTTGCTGAGAATCACTGTGTGGTTTTCCGGAGGATTAGAAAATTATTTGTCACAAGTGGAGTGTGATAGAAGCTTTTCCACTTTAAATATATAAAGAACAGATTACGTAGTAATTTTTCGCAGCCAAACCTGGAATCCTTCATGTTAATGTTCTTAGAAAAACACCTGTTAGATGACATCCAGAACGATCACATTATCAACATATAAGTTACTGTATGTAGAAACAAAGTCAAACCAATGAGTTAAAATTTTTGTTTATTTACTATTTAGTCGGCAAATGACATATTTAACATGTTCTGTTAACCATGTTCTGTTAACCAGCATTCATCCATGAACAAAATTATTGAATTTAAAAACTTGTTTTCCTTGCAGACTAACATTTACTTGCAATTTTCCGAGGAGTTTTTGATTTGCTATTTTTGTGTGCCGGTTTGATCAAAATTTGCTCGGGCCAAAAAAATTAGCCAGTCCGCGCCTGGTTATAAAACAAATCCAGCAATAATTTTTAGCCACCCCATGCATAATGTGGGGGTTTCAAATTAATGACCCTGCGCTGTACAAACGCCTCGTCCCTCTAACAGAGACGAAACTCCAGAAAGGTTCCCGGTTCATTATTGAAAATATATAAAAAGACAAAGCCGAAGAAGCACTGCGAATGTTCTATATAATTATATGTGAAAAGCCTTCTTGATACTGTGAACTTTACATTAAATTTACATATTCCATGTGTGAGATAATTTCTAACGTAGCGTTCATCTTGCGAGTCGTGTCTCTCCTTGTCTGCCTTTTTTTCTTCGAAAAAGTTGAATTGCATGTCATCAATCACATGACCTAATCGATTTCCTTCATCCTCCCCCCTTTGATTGATTACTCGATCAATCAAAAAAACGATGTTGAATTTACATGAATACATATTACAATGAAAAAAAAGGGAGTCATTAGCGTCCTTTAATAAAAGTGGTGACATCTTCATCACGTATAATTGCGATTTGTACATCCTCTTCTTCTTCTGGTACTTTGTCTTGATCAACTTGTTCTAACGAATCTTGAACCTCTATAGGATACAAGTGCTGTATCGAGCGTTTCAAAACTACGACTTTCCCCGAATTATCTGTTGTGCATACTTCTGCTGCACGTACAATGTTGTCTCGCCCTGGTAGGAGTCGCGTGATTTTTCCGAGTTTCCATTTCTGTCTCGGCGTTTTATCGTTGTGAATCGTAACTATATCTCCTTGTTTTGGAATCCTTCGTAATTGTTTTCCTTTTGAAGTATATCTTTCACGAAGCGAAGTCAAATATTCTTTTTTCCACTGTGTAACGAATCTCCCAAGAAGTGTTTCGAGATATTTCGCGCGTCTAGTTAGTGTAGTTTTATCCGAATCTGCGTTGTTTTGCGTAATTTCGTGTTTATCGAGTAATCTGCGACCTGTAATTAGGCACGATGGAGTTAATGGCGTCTGGGTTACGTCTTCATAAACGAAGGTAAGCGGGCGCGAGTTTAGTATCGCTTCAGTCTCAATTAGCACGGTTTCTAATTCTTCGTAAGTCAAGAGAGCGTTTTTTAGCGTTTTTCTCAAACATCGTTTTGTTAGTTTTACCATAATTTCGAATATACCACCCCACCAACTCGCTTTCGGAATATTGAATCTCCAAACAATACCTTTACTATTTACAAATTTTTGCACAGCACAATCGATGAATGTTTTTCCATTATCTGACAAAATTCGCGCTGGTATGCCTCGACGAGATATGAATCGTTTCAACGCACGAATGAAGGTACTTCCACGAAGATCTGGAACGAGTTCTAAATGTATTGCTCTCGTACTAGCACATGAAAACAAGGCAATGTAGCATTTATAAGATTGATTATCATTGTTGTAAATGTCGCGAACGAATAAAGGTCCTGCGAAATCTATACCGATTTGCGAAAATGCAGCGTCTTGAGATACACGATAAGGTGGCAACGGAGAAGCGGAAGGTGTATCATACGGCTTTCCAATCATTTCCTTACACGTAACGCATTTCGATAAAATCGATTTAACTAGTTGCCGACCTTTGCTTATCCAATATTCAGATCGAAGTTCCGTTAAAGTTTCTCTTACCCCGTTGTGTTTTACAGTTTCATGACTTTTTGTGACAATTAAACGTGAAAGATGATGTCCCCTTGG